TATATTAAAAAAATGTATTAAAAATCCTTTTTAATTTTTTAAACACTATCCAACACGTTTTTATATTATCTGTGATAAGTACCATGGTATTTAAAAATCAATTGTTACGACTTTTGGTAACACTGTGGAGGTTCTGATATAAATAACAGAAAGTAAAAAGAAGTTCCGCATCTTTCTCGTCCATCGCCCAAGAAAGCAGTGATAATCAGAAGAATATGAGGATAAAATATGCATTGATTAAACCAGTTTATTAATCATTTTTAGTGCTTAACTGATTTCGTATCCTGTTCTGTACACTGCGAATCAAATGTTTAATCATTCCAGCTAAAAGACTTTTTTATCTCTATCGAATCGGAATATTTAATGAAAACATTAAAATGGATTATTACAAAATGTTTTATCTAAATGACTAAATATACTTAACTTCTTAGGAAAGTAAGCAATAATTTTTATGGATTGATAAAGCAGTTATTCACATTCAGTCTTAAAGCTCACAGTTTTATTGGGTAACCAAATGCTGACAAATTAGCGGTAAGATGCAAAATATTTTAATTTGGAAGCAAATGGGAATTAAAGGAACCTATAAAAATTAATTGATGTTGTCCAATTACTAATATTCTGATGGAAAAACACAAGGAATGTTCATATATTTTATTTTTAACGACTGAAATTAAAATAATATTGAAATATTTTTACTTGGCATGTAGGTTTATAGCTGTCATCTTAAGATAAGACCATGACAAGAAATAATTCTCGAATTTAATATATACTGCCTGGCATTGAAAATGAAAGACCCAGTAAATATAAAGATGTTTTGTTAATGAACTCGGTTCATATAGGTCATAAAATGATTAAAGATTGGTAGGAATCTAGTAGCTGTTCTTGTTATTAAAACACATCACTGACTATTATTGATACTGCTTACAGGCATGACGTTTAGTGATGTTTTTACTTGATACTGCATTCAAGAAAATATTTTTCAATATCTTGTATATGTTGATACAAAGAAGAAATATGCTTTATTGTCACTGAAAATTGTACAATTTTATGGACAAAGCATATAAAAGTTAAAAAAAAGTAATAATAACAATTAAAGTTTACGAAAATTACATAAATCGTCAATATCACGGAATAAAACATAATAAAATATACAAACTATTGCAAAATTTCGCTATATTGCAAATTGCATAATAAAACCTTACGAACTAGTTTAAGAATAAGTTTAAGCTGCTACATGTGATACCCAAATATAAATATATAAAAATACTTTGTTACTTGTGCCTAGATACTTGATACTAGACTTTAGGAAGGCATTTGACCGAGTGCAGCATATGAAGTTATTAGATGAACTAAAAAACATGAATTTAGACAAAAAAGACATTGAGATTAAAGTTATATACTGGAACCAGAAAGCAGTAGTATAGGTGAACGATACAGAAACAAATAATATACCGATTGCGAGAGGGGTCAGGCAAGGATGCGTCTTGTCTCCGACGCTTTTCAACGTGTACTCACAGGTTATATTAAGAAAAGCCTTATGGGAAAGAAAAGAGGGAATAAGAATTGGGGGAGAAGTCGTAAACACCATGAGATTTGCAGATGACACGGTAATTATGGCTGAGAGTATAGAAGAACTACAAACTTTGCTAGATGCAATACTGCATAGACTGCATACCTTGGACACATACTGAGGAATGATAAATATAGTATTCTGTAGGTCATCATGCAGGGTAGAGTCGATGGCAAAAAGGGAATAGGTAGGAAGAGAAAATCATGGCTGCGAAATATTCGAGACTGGACAAACAGGACTGTAGATGAATTATTCCACGTTGCAAAAGACAGAGAAACTTTTAGAAATGTGGTCGCCAACCTCCGTTAATGGGGACGGTATAGGAAGAAGAAGACTTGTGCCTAAACGAACTGTACTTTCTTAATTATTCGTTAAGAAACTCTTCCACTGAATAATAAGCTCTTTCAGATAGATAGGCTTTTGTCAATTTACGGAACATAACGAAAGAAGTTGTAGATTTAAGTTGCAAAGGGAGTTGGTTTTCTAATTTTTTTGCCGAATATAATATAGGTTTCTTTACTAACTCAGTGGATGGGATTAGTAAATACACATCAAAGCTTGAATTTCTAGTGGAGTAGTCATGAATAGGTATTGCTGGAAAAAATGTAGGTGTTTTCTAGCAATTATTGCTGTGGCCGTTTCCGAGAACCAGTGGGTATGCTAACTTTATGGTAAGTTAGCATAGCCATAGCTACATCTCGGTAAGGAAAAGGGATACAGGACCCATCTTGGCAGCATATTTTAATTGTCTTATTCCGTGACGTAGATGTTCAAAAAAGATTTCCCCCACCGTTGCCTGTCAGAATTTAATGGATATCTTCTTAGGCTCTTACTGGAATCTGGCAATACGGCAATTAAAAAAAAAAGATTAATAAATCTAAAACTAAATAATCAGCTGTGTATATCAGCTTCAAATCTGATTATTTTTAGAGACAAGAATTGTGGTCTACGTGAATTAAACATTATCTGATCCAATAAGGTAAATAAAGTACATTAACTTAGTTGTAAATTCACGTACGCTCAAAAGTTAATATAATTTCACTAACTAGTATTCCTCAGAGACATTGTGTTATTCTCCGATATATTTTAAAACCTAATTCCAAAAGTTCTCTTCAAGTAAATGAGAAACTGCAATCCCAATTTTCTAAATAACCGAACGATTTAAATCCTCTACCCAGCTAATGTCCATAGGCGCTTTCTCATAAAACTTTATAGGGGAAGCCAATAAATTTCTACGTCCACACTGTTCAAACTGTAAAAGTTGTAAAGCTGTAATATAACTCGAGTTCGTGAACACAGTGAAGATGTTCTTCAGAAAGTAGAGTAATGATTTTCCTTGGAAAACTTTATATGTTGTCCTAGTTGATAAGATTAGAGTAGTTGAGTAAGGCCATAAAATGTAAAGTTAGTACACAAGCAGATTGCAGTACGGGGTGTATGTGTGCGTGATATCTCTGTTTGGCTTAATGCTATTTACTTACAGAGTGAACTTCTAGTGTTACAATAAATGTTGCACGTTTATTAATAGCAAGAGGTCCTTACGCTTACAAAGTAAATAGTGAGGTATAATTTAAAATTATTATACATCAATTTTATTTTTGACGTGGCAACGTAGCAGTAAAAGTAAAAACGTGTTTGATTTTTTCGATTAATCGATAATCCCAAAAATTTTAAAAGTTTTGACGAAGATAAAACACTAACTGATAATACCAAATCATTAAACAGTACAAGCAATAAAACAAGTGAAGATCTCCTGTGAAAAACTAATATTGAGTGTTAAAAAACAACAACTGTGATAATAATAGAAAAAAGTAAGGTTATATTATAATAAAATCAGCTCGCTAAACCAAAGTCCAGTTCAAATAAAATGCGGTGTTGTCAGATTTCAATTAAAGCGATTTTTTTTGAGAAAGGGTGTAACCTCGGAAACCTTTTTTGGATGGTGCTAGAAAGATCGCCAATGGAGACACTGCGGACGGCAGCCAGATGGTTGGTGTATAGCGAGTCGTAAGTTTAAAACTAGCTTTTGGAACCGAGAATGGGTCCAACGTATGAAATAAGTAAAGATAGGATAAGAGATATTAGAAAAGATACAAAAATAAACAAAAAGATAGATGGGTAAAATTACCAAAGATAAGATGCGACAGGAACAGGGCGCCACTCAATTTTTTTGGCGTTAAGGAGAAAATTAAAAAACCTTTGAAAAGAAAAGAGATAAGAAAATATATTTAGGTTCAGAGATCAAACCCAAGAAAAGATACCAACAGTTAATTATTATTAAATAAATTTGGTCAACACATTATATAAACAAATAATAAATATATTAGGTATTACACGTACTTATCTACGAAACTTAATCAACCTGATCTTTCTACTGGTCAAAGGTATAATAATAATTAAAGGTAAAAAGCAAATATTCAAATTTTCAATTTTATCAGGGAACTTGTTAGGAGCGGACAAATAAAATACATACATAAAACAATAACAATATATTCAACGACAAAATTATGACGCTGCTAAATGCAACACAAGTAATAAAAATACACCAATAACTATGAAATGGTGGTATACATATAAAAATAAGCAGTAATATAAATAGAAAATACCTTTATTAAGATATATAATACAATCATGTACAAATAAAGTTTTGGCGTATCTCGAGATATTACAGCAAAAAAAAATAAAAGTTATAACCAACACAAAAGATAACAAAAATTAATCAGTTCTAAATTTACAAAAATACAAAAAGGTTACCGAAATGAAAACAAGAATTTAACCAAACCGCACTTGGTTAAGTGGAATAACTATCTTGCACTATTATTTAATGAGAAACTGAGACTTAAATGTTCATAATTATTACCTTGAAATTGAATTGAAATTTCTTGAATCAATTAAAATGTTCTTTAAATTGAATGCAAAAATCAGGTAAAGACATGGATGAACTTTGATTCGCTTAGATGATTGCAGATAATATCGGGCTAACTTGAATATATTCAACAGATCATTCATGGTAAAAATGGCAACATTTTTCTTGACAGACTCAATGACACTGTGCATTGAGTCTACCTCCATGTTCAAATGTCCTTTCTCCATAAAATTATGCTGCAAAATTTCAATGCAGGTATGTGTTACAACATACAAAATAATGCGGCAGTGAACTGGCCGCTCGAATTTGGCCGCTGCATGTGTAAGAATATAGACTGATCCTGTAATGTCTTTTTACAGAGGTTTTATCCACTTGATCAATGTTGGTCCAATTTCGGAGCTGCCATGTTGACTATTAATCTCTCTCCATGCATATCAGTGTGCATTATTTGGAGGTGCCGCTTCATATATTGTAAAGTTGTAAGAACAAAATTTAAGAGAATAATATATTTGTGCACATCTGAGGATGGTATTTGCAATATACTTTGTAAATCGAACGAAGCACTTAAAATGTTTTTTCTTCAGCTGATCGAAGTTTGTCAGATTTTTTTGCCTTGACTGCTTCGTCCCTTCTTTGTAGATGTTGCTTATAATCTTCTTTATTAATAGTTTTGGTCTTGTACTTGTCACAACTGGTCATTTCACACTGGTCCATCTTGAAATTAAAAAATGACATTATAATGTTTTCCAAATATTCTACGATAAGTGACTTCACTAACATGAGCTTTTTCTCGACTTTTGTACTGTTCCACATAAAGCTTAAACATTTTGCTGATTGACAAATTGGGATCCAAATATAACCTATTTGAACTTTTCCGACAATAGTGTGATTCCATAGTCGGAAAGCTCTCAATGTGCTTCTCAACTTTCTGTACAAGTTTATCTGGAGTTTTATTGTAAGAAGCAAGCCTTCCTCTTTTATCTTTCATATTAAATAACCGATTTTGATTTTTGCCTTTTAAAGCATGATCCACTGGACCATGACTAATGCACAGAGTTTGTAAGAAAAAATTTTTGCATACTTGAATAATTTTTGCACTTAATTTCTTAAAATATTATTTGCGGCTAGATTCTTTTCTAGTGCCTAGGCGGATACGAACAGTGTCTAAAAAATACTTTGATTAACAGCAGCATTGACCACAGATATACTGAATTAAAAGCCAATGTATATAAGGAAGCCAAAACAACAATTAAAGTATATAAAGGAACAAAATCAATACCAATAAATAGAGGCGTGAGACAGGGTGATACAATATTACCGAAACTTTTCAATCAGGCTCTGGAAGATACATTTAAAAGATTAGAATGGGAAGAAAAAGGTACAAAAATTTGTGGACAACGCTTGAACCATTTAAGGTATGCTGATGAGATCGTATTGATAACCGATAAAAAAGAAGAATTATTTGAAGTGATGAAAGAACTGGACGTAAAAGCTAAAAAGATAGGCCTTAATATGAATTACAGCAAGACCAAAACCATAACAAATACAGATGAAGATATCACAATGAGAATCGGATAAGATGAAATAGAGCAAGTTCAGGATTAGGTAGATATATCTGGGTCAAACTATAAAACTTAACAAAGAAAACCAAACAGCAGAGATAAAAAGACGAGTTAGACTGGCATTGGCGGCATTTGACAAACTAAGTTATATTCTTAAAAACAAAAGATATCCACAGCATCTTAAGACCAAAGTATACAATCAATGCGTACTCCTTGTTTTTACTTATGGTTCCCAAACGGGGACATTTACAAAAGCAAACATGGACAAAATCTTAAAAACCCAAAGAGCAATGGAAAGACAAATGTTGCACATAAGACTAATGCATACAAAGAGAAACGAGTGGATAAGAGAGAAAACAAAAGTGAGAGATGTTAGGCAAGAATATTGTTCTGAAGCTGTAACTGGGAATAAGCCACAATTAAAGGTAAAAATACGTTTATTAACGTTTCAATTTCCACTTCGGAAATCGTTCTCAAAATACAAACAGTAAATTAAACAAATTTTGTTTTTTGTTACTTATTGAAAAATTCTTCTAATAATTTAATTTTATCTGACTCATTTATATTGACAATTCAGACATACATTATGCCTTTTAAAGTAGACGACTTTAAAATGATATTGCCAATATTGTTGTTGCGCCCCTGGGACGATTTTACTTATAAGATAGTTCATTCGATTACATGAAATCAACTTTAACTTGAGAATATCTGTCAGAAAAAAATCATAGCATGTAATTCATCTTTAAAAAGACATACACATGACATGATGACAGTAAAATTCTCCTGTTAGTGATTCCATTGTAAATTATGAGGGAAAAACCAGGAAAAAAACCTCATAATACTATCCCGACATGGTAAATAATTGGTTGTGCATTTAGTTTACCTTTAATAAACGCCAAACTCTGATTTTATATGTTTCGTTATTTAAAAAACATAAATGATGTATCCTCTATATGTTACTGACTTACTAATACTGGTTTTCTGGTTTCTGGTACTGGTTTTCTTATTAATAACTTCCTTTTTCGATATTGGTAACCAGATTCTACTACATTCTGCCGAGGAATTTGCGACACAATTGGTCTCATTTAGCATAATTAGAGCCGCTTCTTTGATTTTTCTTTTTTTACCATCCGTTTCTTTTAGGACTTCATTTGAATTATTCCAAATGCTAAATGAGACCAATTGTGTCACAAATTCCTCGGCAGAATGTAGTAGGATCTGGTTACCAATATTGAAAGAGGAAGTTATTAATAAGAAAATACCAGTATTAGTAAGTCAGTAACATATAGAGGATACATCATTTATGTTTTTTAAATAACGAAACATATAAAATCAGAGTTTGGTGTTTATTGAAGGTAAACTAAACGCACGACTAAATATTTACCATGTCGGGATAGTATTATGAGGTTTTTTTCCTGGTTTTTCCCTCATAATTTACAATGGAATCACTAACAGTAGAATTTTACTGTCATTATGTCATGTGTTTGTCTTTTTAAAGACGAATTACATGCTATGATTGTTTTTTGACATATATTCTCAAGTTAAAGTTGATTTCATGTAATCGAATGAACTATCTTATAAGTAAAGTCGTCCCAGGAGCGCAACTCAACAATATTGGGAATATTATTTTAAAGTCGTCTACTTTAAAATGCATAATGTATGTCTAAATTGTCAATACAAATGAGTCAGATAAAATTAAATTATTAGAAGAATTTTTCACTAAGTAACAAATAACAAAATTTGTTTAATTTACTGTTTGTATTTTGAGAACGATTTCCGAAGTGGAAATTGAAACGTCAATAAACTTATTTTTACCTTTAATTGTGGCTTATTCCCAGTAAAATAGTAATTAAGTTAGACAAGAAGTTGCAAAATTAAAATGGAGATTTGCCGGACACAATATAAGACAAAAAGAAGACCGATGGAACAAAATTCTTATAAATTGGAGACCGTGGGAATATAAACGAAGCAAAAGAAGGCTCCAAATGAGATGATCAGATGACATTAAGAAGCACGTGGGCTCTTCTGTAGTAGATACTGAAGTGGATGACTGTAGCGACAGACAGAGAAGAATGGAAAAGGATTGGGGAGGCCTATGTCCAAATATGGGCCGAAGAAGGCTAATTAGATAGATAGATAGACGCGGATACGAATTCTGTGAATTTTTAGCAAGTGACTTATTATAACAGATGATAAAATAAAGTCTTTTTAGCGTAAGTAGTCGAGTTTCAAATAAATCAAAGGAATAGAAATTCTGTCCTCTTCAGTGAATTTAAAAGTGCACAAACTTGCAATTATTACAGTTCAAACATTTTTTACTTTTGGCTGGTTTTATTTTGTTTTTGGCATTGTACGGTATAAACAAGCTTATTTTCTCCTAAGCTACGTTTCTTTTTCATTTTTTTAATTCTGGTTTTCTCTAACGTGATCTTTACTTTGTCAGTGGCTCATCATCTGATTCTTCGTCGCTTTCCGGAGCATATTCATCGTTGCTCTCTAAACCTAATTTACTAGTAGCTTCCGGTTCACTATCCTGTTCATAATTACCTTTTTGGAGATTACTTGTAGAAGGTATTTGGTTATCGGTAAATCCAGTGTCCAAGTTTTCTGATAATTGAAACTCTATAGCAGCTGCGACTAAAATAAAATATTGTACCGTTTTTAAATAAAACGAGCGGTTCGAATTTATAGGTATATATATATATATATATATATATATATATATATATATATATATATATATATATATATATATATATGTATATATGTATATATATATATATATATGTATATATATATATATATATATATATATATATATATATATATATATATATATATGTATATATATATATATATATATGTATATATATATATATATATGTATATATGTATATATATATATATATATATATATATATATATATATATATATATATATATATATACAATACTTTTTAAAAGTTCAAAAGTCTTTTTTTCAAATTGATTTGAAAAGACTATTTTCAAATCTCACACCGGACACCAACTGTACCGTTTTTAAATAAAACGAGCCGTTCGAATTTATATAAATATATTTATTTATAACTTTACAGTTCGGTAATATCCTAACAACTAAACTACCTCAATCATCGTTACCTATATATATATATATATATATATATATATATATATATATATATATATATATATATATATATATATATATACAAATTATTATGTTCGAGAATATTCGGGAGTAGTTCCACCTCTAATTCGTTATCTGAAGGGTGGAATTTTAAAGCGCTCGATATATATTTCCGGAAACTTCTCGGTGCTTCGAGATGCGACCGTTAGATGGCCATACCGAAAGCATGTTCGTAACACTGCTCCCCTCTTAGATCTCAGCGTCCTGATCAGCTACTCTATATGTAGGCCCAGGATGACGGAATATACAAGCCTCTCCAGCTCTGCACGACCCCCTCAAGAAGAAATAACAGTCTACTGTCTTTGAAGGACACGATCTCTTCGGATTAGTACAACACACAGTAACTCTTACCCCGGTTTCTCGGAATCACTTCAAGCATGCTTCTGACAATCTTCCAATCCAGATTATCTAGTGCATGGCCTATTTTGGGTAAGGCCAAATTCTTAATGTCGTAATTGCCAACGATTTTCTTTAAATTAGTTAGAGGACACCATATATCCTCGTAGGTTGCCCTGTCTGTATACGACTTCTTGGTCACCATATTCAGCAAAGATCGAGAACCATCTTCTAATCTCACTACTCTTCCAACTTTAGGCTGCTGGTTTTTTAACTCGTCCAAGCGACCGAATTTCTTATAAAATACGGATGAGATTCCTTTAGTCATCTCAAGATCTTGGGCAACACAGTGGGGCTAGAGTGACGTTATGCGGAACACTAAAAAGATCCTGCTGAACTTCTGTCGTCACGCCGAATCTAGCACTCGTTTTCTCTGCGTAATTTGACATAAACTCATTAAAGCTTGGTCGCCGATCATCTTTGATCTCATGTTGAAGGGTTCGGACTTCTTCGGTTTTATTTGAGCCAGCAAAAGGTGCAAAACGATTTATGTGCACTACTTTTGGTTTACCTTTCGGCAACTTCTTAATTCGGTATATAACGTCATTTATTCTCTCTTTAATTTCATACGGACCCTCCCATTATCTTTGCAATTTAGGAGACAAGCCACGACGATGTTGTAGATTATAAAGCCAAACAAGATCACCTACTTTATAGCTTTCATTCTTGCATCGAGAATCGTATTGATCTTTCATTCTGTCACTGGCTAACTGGATGTATTGTCGGGCAAGTTCATGAATGTTGTTCATTCTTAACTTCAGGCCGTCGACATAATCTTCGCTTGCAATATGTTCTTCGGAAGGTCTGCAGCCAAACTCTAGGTCGCAGGGCAAACGAACTTCA